CAATTGTGACGAACCTTTAGACATGGCGTGTCTTATATCGGCATAAGAGGCGTCCGTCTTTAGCTCGACATCAAACTCGAGTCTTTGAAATGAGGCCACAATAGCCTCGGCATCTCTGGCAGTGCCCGGACGGGGAGTACATCCGGTGTGGGGGTCGAAGGACTCGTGGTTAAACACAAGACATTTACCTCTCTTTCTGTGTTTCATATCATATGTCAAGCTATCCAGCGGTACTGTCAACACACCCGTCGATTCATTTCCCCGGATCTCACTTATAATTTAAAACATAATTGATTTGTTTATTAGATTATTAACTTTTATATTTAAATTTATAACATGCAATATACTTGCTAAATATACTATGCTAAATATACTTGCTAAATATACTTGCTAAATATACTATGCTAAATATACTATGCTAAATATACTATGCTAAATAATCTTATATTTTATTAGAATATTTAATTCGTTTTCTTATTAATTTTATGTAAATTGTTTTACTACATTATGTCTATAATGTATGAAAATTATACCATTAAACTGTATAATAGTGAAAGTGATTTGAATATTGAATACCATTGAGAAATACAATTCTTATCATTTTCAATGAACAATTTTCATGTAATACAGATTTAAGAAAAATATTTGAATTAGCAGTCCTTACCTGACACTCCTGAAATACCTGGCATCTATTTGATCCATTATTGAACCGATTATATACAGTCTATATACAAATCAATTAATATTTAAAAATATATTTAAGACTTTCACAAATTATACTTGATACAATTATATCGAAGTGATTTGTTTAGTATGAATGTTGTATTTACTAGTATGATGACTAACTACAGGTAGCATTATTTCATTGGCAATGTTAACTCCAATGACATACTCTGTTATCTTTATAATAGATTAAATGATTGCTAAAAATAATTATGAATTCATATGAAAATTACGATTAATAACTAGTAATTCTAGTATAAAATACTGCATTTTTAGATTTATGCAATATATACCCTGAATAATTTAAGTTACTGTATTTTATCACATATTTTAAGTCCAAAAAATCTTCTATACTGAATTCATTTTTTAAAATACAGTGTATTTAATAATTAAACATTAAACAAGTTTTATTACGAGTGAATGAGTAATTTTATGTGATTGAGTTCATACACACAACATTAATAGACTTTGTACAGGGTAGTATAAGTTTGAATAAGATTTATAATATTTACCGGTACCTTAAGATAATTAATTATTCATTGCATTGTACAGATGGATGTTTCTTAATAGTTTTATGTAACTAAAAATATTTATTAATATTATTCTTTTTAATTGTTAAACATTTTTATGTGTTTACCCTTTATGTTAACTATAAAATAACACCAGAATTGACATTTAAATATTGACCTCCTAATCATGGTCAACCGAAGTTTGCCGCACTTATGTTTTAGTATTTTCCAGAGTTGTTAAACATTTAGTTCAATTGTCCAAATAATCAAGATTTTAATTAAGAAAATATGAAATTTTCATTTCGATATGATATATGAAATTCAGTCAATTTTTATGATTTAATAAAATTAATAATTTGTGATTAATTTTGTAAATTGAGTAAAGTGTTAAATGGCCCATAGATTGGAAAATATTTCTAGGTAGTGATCACCTTTTAATATTTGTAATTTGGTTATCGTAGTTTATTTCAATCTTCTTATGTTTTGAATATAAACTCTAATAAGTAATCTATCATTTGACACCTAAAACATTACATTTTGTCTTATATTAAAAAAGTTTTTAGTTTGAAATCCTCCGAAATATTGAAAAACACCCTTCTGTATAATTAGCCCTTACCCGGGGTTTTGTGCCAAACCTGTGGCATCTCTTTCCGATTGTTTCTGAGGATTGTCTTCTTCATCGTCCGATGGATTCATTCGGACCTTTCGATGCCATCATTTAAGCCAACTTTGAAAGCTATGTACAAATCAATGCATATTTGAGTTAGTGTTTGACATTTTGCACAATTAATGTATCAATTATATTGAACTCATTTGCTTATTCCTCATCAATTTATCGATTAATTAAATTCATTAGAAATAAATATCAAATTAGTTATACTATACACCTTTCAAAACTGTTTTATTTCAAAGCTTTTTGAAATTAATTTCTTAATGTGTATAAAATTAAATACTTTATGAAAAGTAAAATATTATTGTTATATGTTATTGAGATTTAATTTAATTTCAATTATAACATACCTTAGATGAAGTGGTCCACGATGTGGTTAATTATAATAATGATTATTGTGCTAATAGTTAGTCTCAAATGTTTTAAACACTAATTTTCTGTTAGTTTTGAGAAACCATTCAATCATAAAGTAATACCAAATTCATAGAACTTTTATAGATTCTGTACTAATGTTTAATTTGGGATATGATTTGTAGTACAGATTCTGTACTCATGAATATAACACTATATGATTGGTTTGCAATGTATTTCTATACTTTGAAAAAGAATTCACATTAGAATTTAAATATTATATATTACTATAAATGTATTAAACTTTAATTATAAGTTAGCATTTACTAGTTTCTAAATATAGTAATATATTTTAGAATCGGATTATAATACTGAATCGGATTGTGTGGAAATTCATGAAATATGAATCAATAGGATAATACATGAAACATTTAATATTGCATATACTGTCATTTATTTAAAGTTTAAAAGTTAATGAATACAATTTACAGTATTTTGTACTGTATTTCGAATACAAGTACAACTGAATGCCTAATAAAACAAAAAAGAAATCAATTTTGAATCGAAAACTCAATTGAAATCTAATGAAGAGTTTATGAGAAGCTGTCGGAAGTGCAGTCATCAAAGTTTTCCGACGGATCCAATGCTTCCAGTGATTCGAAGACATTTGTGGTGTATATCTCTGGCCATCGATCACCTCATCATCCGATAGTTTGTCTCTTCATCCGAGCAAACAATGAATTTTAGTTAACTAACAGTAATCCCACAATACATCAAATAAATCCTCAAATTATTCAATATTTTTAAAAACTTTATTCATTTCATACGAATCATTATTTGAGTTAAGATTAAGACAATTTAAACAAAACATGGATTCAATTGTGTTTTAATAAGAAATTCCTATACATGATAATCACCGATCGGATTAATAACCAGTGAATCAATACAAACACACACTTTCAATACAAATCATCCATTAAACGAATCAATGATTAGTTGAAAATTCATATGAATTAATGGTATAATAATTAATTGATGCATAACTCGGACACAAAACACATTATGAAGTAAATGAGACTTGAATGAGAAGTTAAATTAAATGACATTCAGTTCGGTATAAGTATTGAAATGCGAAAATGATTTCAATTCGAGACACAAACGAGTGGTAAGATTAGACCCGCGAACGCATTAAGTCTTCGTTGATTTGGTTGATCTGCTGGAGACCTGTCGTACTCCAGCCGCCCATCGGTCCGACCCTATGGTTCCCGTTGTCACTACTGGGGCCGCCGTTTCTGAACGGATTGGGAGGCGACGACTCTCTCTTCACGCTATTGTTATCGCTGTCTGAGTGCAAAAACAACTCAATGTATCGTTTCTCTGCCAATTCACACAACAAATCATCACTTTTTTGGGAACTAATCAATGGTTGTATATGTCTTACGAATGAACGCTTTGTCTTTATTCATGGCTTTGACAGAGTCTTCGTGAGTGGCAAACGCCACGTCGGCCTCACCACTGGGTCGGCCCAAGTCGTCGATCAGTATTTGTACGTTAAGTGGCCTCAAAGGTAGGAAAAACTCGTAGATCTCTCTCTCAGATGTCTTATATGGCAGTCCTCTCATGTGAACGGTATGGCGACCGGCGAATGGCATCGCGTTGTGTGGCTGTTGTGATGGGTATGAGTCGTATGTGTGGCGACCGCCATATCCGGGAC